CAATGCCAAAGTTGAAAAGAGGAAATGTTCTGTCATGATATCATATCTGTGACTTAATGCAAAAGAAGATTCAGGAAGGGAAATGTGCTGGGGTGAATATGAAAAGTGTTCCCCTTTCAAGGGGGATGGCCTTAAGGCTTTCTCAGGCAGCTATGGGGCAAGAGAGGTCTCATTTAGATCTCAGGCCTGCAGTAAACATCTAAGTGTAAAACTTGGACTCTGACAGGCAACTGGAGTATGTGGGGAAGGAAATCCTAGCAGAGAGCAGCTGGCTCACAGGCTCTGCTGATGGATGGCCTTCAGCATCTGAGCTCATTATAATCTAGCCAGATGCCAGCCTTGGCCGATCAACCAAAGCCACAATCAGCCAACATTCATGGTTCTTGTTGCATTTATGGTGCACTTTCAGTGTCTCTAAAGATTTGATAAAATCATCCTTCCTGGGATGATGCTAGAAAGGAATCTGCCTTCACTTAGAAAAGCAAAAATTCTTTTGTCCTATGGTATCTGAGGGTGAGAGACAAGCACTAACTTGTTTCATTTGCAGCCACATCCTACTCAGACTGGTCCCGAGGGTGCTGTGTTGGAGAAAAGAACCAATGCAGAACACCATTATTCTGTCAAACCCTCAAAGATGACCTGGGTATTAAGACAGTATGGAGCCTTTGAAGTAGCTGCAGGGGACACAGGAGTCCCTGAGAGGTTTCTGGTAAAGGGGAATTCCCTGTAGTCAACACACAGGCGTCCTGATGCGGGGATGCTGCAGAGCTGGCCAGCAGGAAGAGAACAAGTGCTGCTCCTGAGCCCAGTGTGAAGTCTGGTCTAGTGCATACAGGCTGCTGTGGTGCTACTGTGACCAGGCACGCTTTCCTGTGAGTTAAGGACACCTGTGCCTTCCTGGAGGCTCCACTTAGGGAAACCCCAGACTTCTCCTGCTCCTGTACACAGTCTGAGCATGAAGTGCTGAACACCAGGCTCTGATATGTCTGCGGTCACAGCTTTCTAACCACAGCTGCAAATATGTCAGCAAATCCTAAAGGGAAGCCCGAGCACTCTCCTGGATGGACACACACAGTTTCCAGTGGTCTGACACCCCAGAACTTTCTCCCTAGGACTGGCGTTTGCATCTATGGAACTGATTCATAAACAGATACACAAGAAGTCGCATCCACAAGAAGAAAAGAAAGAGCTCAAACAGTACTCACATTTCGGTAGCCCAAAATGGTTCCCAAAAAAGGCAGAGGTTTGGGTCCAGGAATGCCAAGCTTCTTAAAAAACCCATTAGAATAAGTCCCATACCTATAAAGTAAAAGAAAAAGCCAAGAACATTTTATCATGATCCAACCAGCAATGGAGACCCTCCCTCAGGATCAGTGCTAGCTGTCCTCTGCTCTAAATACACAGCACTGAGTGGGAAATGGATCTGGATACTGAAAGACAATAAAACAACTTGAGTTATCCAGAGGAAGGGTGTGTCAGGTGAGGGTTACAGAAAAGAGGGAAGAGTAGATGCCGACCCTCCTACAATGTCTAGGATGCATGATGGGAATTTGTAGAAAGCATGTTAGGGGATGAGAGAGAGAGCAATAGACATGTGTATGCCCAGGGGAGAAGCCTTATACACGTCATCAGTGCATGCTAAGGAAAGCAAGGAGGCAAGGACAGTGAGAAGTTTAAGCACCTCCATGATCTTGGGACTCCCCAAACTCAGAAGGGCTGTAGTGGTGAATTGTTTATAAATTCTCTGGATTGATGTTGGTTAGTCTGGGTACAGACTGAGAGCCAACTCCATCTTCCCAGGAGCAAGTCTTGTCAAAGCCCTCTGAGCCATAAGGTAAGAGTTGAAGGGAGTCAGAAGTGTATAATGTCATTGGCAATAATGTCAGTAGGAACTGCACTACCAAAGCCTCGATTTCAACTTCTCCTCCATCTTCTCTTCGGATGTTCTAACAGGAAAGGGAAGGGGGCCTGTGTATCACCCCAACTCCAGTTACAGATAGGGAGAATCTTGGACAGCTACTCACATGTAGATGAGCACCAGGCTGGTAGCCAGCAGCACCCAGGTTTCTATGGAAAGGCTGGGGATCAGCTCCATCTCAGCTTTCCTTCAGCAGTTCTGGCTCCAAGTTTCCCTCCCAGCTGAGAGTCTTGCAGGGCTCCCCTGCTGTGCCCAGCTGAGATCCAATGAGACCAGTCTGCAGTGTTTATGTGCTGAGAAAGGAGGAGGGGTCAGGGATGCAGCCAGTAGAAAGTCCTCCCTTGCACTGCCTGAACTCAAAGAACTGAGATGGCCTTTTCAATGATAGTTATCAAAAGTTCATGCACAATCCTACTCTGACCTCCTTTGAATACATATTCTAGGTGAATATTTGTTCTTCCAGAAACTCAATTAAATCCATTGGCACTAAATTTCTTCTAATTTGCAGGTCTCTTTCATGCATGTTCTCATTCCAAAACACGTTGAAAACATACAGAGAAACTGTACCTACTGACCTTCACCAGTGCAAGGCTTCCTTTTCTAGTGTGTGTGTGGAGGGGTGTGTGTGTGTGTACACTGGGTGTCGTCCTCTGTCACTTTCCACCTTATTTTTCAAGGCAGGATCTATTACTGAACCTAGAGCTTGCCATTTCAGCTAGACTGCCTGGGCAGCAAGGCCCTGGGGACCACCTTTTCTACCACATACTTCCTCCCTTTCTGACGTTATAGACATTTGCTAGCAGCCCAGTGAATAATACATGGGTACTACAAATTTTAACTTGGGTCCCTTTCACAGCAACTTTTCAGAGTCATTTGCATAGCCCCAAATTCCATTTCCTATAAGGTTCCTCTATACCCATTAGGACTTGAAATTATCCATCAAAACACAGCTCAGAAAAAAATATGAACCTGGTGGAGTCATTTCTCACCAATCACACCCAACAAGGA